AAGTAACAGAGGGATACCAAATATTAAAATGTAAATAATATTTGATTAAGTCAATTAATTTAATGTAGAGATTGTCAAATTTAAAAAATATTAACAAAACCAATAAATTTAATATTAGGTAGCATCAAGACCATAAAAAATGTATAAAAGATAATTATTAGAATTATGCATTTAAAATATTCCTTAAATTCTTTGTTCAGGTGTTAATGTATCATCAGTTATTAAATAATTATATTCAATAATCACTTAAAAAGTATTTTTAATTAATTATATGAGTCCAATTTAATAATAATCTTACAAAACATCAGAAAATAATCTATTTTTTAATAAATCTAAACTCATATTACAACCTACTAATAAACAAACATCTTTTCCAATTAATATCTATTTATTATCTTCTGATATTAATAGATTTTAGTTTTACTCTTAAGCATTTCTATACAATAAATCAGTTAAATCATATGCTTACAAATTTTAAATTTGATTCAATAAAAATGTTTTATCAATTTCCAATAAACTAAATAGTTATTAATTATTAATTATATTCTAATTTGAATAATTTAAATCATTATTTTAGTTATAATATTATTTTAACATATAAGTATCCCACATATTAATAGTAATTATAAAATTTAATCTCATAAGTTAAGCTTATATTTCTCTTTTTGCTACAGGAGCTATTCCTGAAGAAACATAATCATAGTATATTTGAAAAACAATAGAGAAACTAATTTTTAAAATAACCAAAATAAAATATAAGATTATATATTTTCTAATTGACAAAGTTGGAGAATTATAAAACATTTTTTTGGCTTCCATTGTTGATCTATTTTTATTATTCAAATTTAAATTGTTATCTATCAACATAACAATCTATTTTGTTTCTTAAAATTGTATTAATGTAAGGATATTAGTAGGAATTTATTTAATTTAATCGAAATTATGTTATTTAACCAAAAGATTATCTTAATTTATACTATCCTATAATCTTTAATATGATTCTATAATAAATTCACATTCATCAAATTCTAAAGTAACAAATTAATTTAAATAAATTTAAATTACTTTTTTTAATCTTAAAATTACTAAAACATGAAATACACCAAATAATAATGCTAAACAATATAATAATACAAAAATAATTGAAACTAATTAATCATATTATTCATTTATTTTATCATTATATTCTTCACAATCAAAAAGAGATTAATTTACTAAAGATATAATGTCTTGATAATTAAAATATAAAAAATATCTGTTTCTTAATCTAAAATTTAAAATTTTAAATACTCTATATTGCTTTCATTTTTATTTGATAAATATGTGTTTAGGGATAAATCATTCTAAAATGCTATATAAAGTTCTTAATATAATATTGTATAATGAGTTGCAAAATTTCTTAATTTTTAACTCAACACTTTTTTATTAGAAAAATCAGGGTAATAGAAATTAACTGATACATCTTCATAACTTAATAGAATTTTTGAATAATTATAAAATTTTCCAATAATATCTTAAGATCCTTAAACTAATATATCCCATGATATATTTATTCTATCTTTATTTGTAATATTGATAATTCCATCATTAACTTTTATATTTATAGGATCTATAAGAGTCTAAAAATTAGAATTAAATATAATATGTCTAGATCCAGACAATATAGCACTATAACCATTAAAATAATTAACATCTTCTGTGCTATGTATAATACAATTTGATTATATAACTTTTTTTAAATAATAAACAGCACATATTAATGCAATTGAAAATATTGTAATCAATAAATGAATTGATACTATCCCATAAGTAGCTTTAAATATTTAAGGATATTGATTATCTTAGAGAAATTCAATAAATTTATGAACTCGATTAGGAATATTTAGAATAGAAGAATTTTAACTTTAAATTTCTTGGAGATGATGTTAAAATTCTATAAATTTCATTTAAGATTTTCTTCTATTATAATTAATAGGAGGTTCCTAAATCATTTATTATTCTTCTCCATTATAAGATATCATTTTATCACTTGTTATAAGATTAACACTTTCAAATTAATATTATTATAATGTTGATCCTCTTTAAAAGTCAACATTTTTAAATTTAACTTGTTACTGTTTTAATTATTATTTAGTTTTTAGGTTTTGATCTATTTATTAATTAAAATCTTCTAAAAATTCTATATCTATTAAATAATATAAAAAAGATTCTAAATTTTATTCACTATTATATGGATGCAAAATCTTTTAAGTTACAGTATATTCAATTGGATAATATTTTATATTTTAATCTTAAATTTGTGAATTTTAAACCATCATCGTCTATTCAATTACATGATGAAGTAGTTTTTTATTTGTAAGTTTGGTTAATGAAAATCGTTTAAAATCTGATTATTATTATTATTTTGGTTAGATATTGATTTTCATAAGACTTTTTTCTTTAACAAAAATTACTTCATTTTCTTTCAAATAACCTCCTTACATTTTTTCATAATAATTCTATAAATTTTATTATAATTAAGGAATAATATTAAATATACTACAATTATTATAAATTTCTTCAGGAGTAATTAATTCAACATCTTAATTCTATTTGAAATAATACTTGTAATTTAATTTTTGATAAATATTCTATGTCATTCCAAATATTTTAAATTCTTTATCTAAAAGTAAATGTCCTTTTAAATTTTAATCCTTCAAATTTTGTTCAATTTTAGAAGTTTTTTATATATGAGCTATCATGTAAAATGATAATTCTCTTAGATTTACAGGAAAAAAATAACTTAAACATAACTTAACTTATTCAATTAAGTTTTTTTTATTTAAAATGAATGCAAGTGAAGAATTATTTATTCTATCACTTTGTCCTTTAAAAAAGAAGTTTTCTACCAATCCAGAATGTACATCACCTAGTTTATGTGGCATTAAATCCTTTATATGAGTAAATATTTATCCATCTGTTTCATGAAATCCAAAAAATTATTTAAATTCAGTAGTAATTTTTTATTCTAATCTACCTTAGTGTTCTGGACTAATATTAGAAATAATTGAGAGTGCTTAACCTGTAAGGAATGATAAATTATTAAAATCATTAAAATTATTATCATATTAATAAGCTTATTCAAATTCATTTAATTATTATTAAATTTTTAAAGTTATTTTAAGATCTTGATATATTATTAAATAATATAGTAATTTAATTTTTAAAGAATATATTGTTTCTTTAGTTTAATTTCTATAATTTTAATATTCTTCAAATTATTTTTATGATTATTTTTTTAATTTTTACACTTATTCAACAGCTTTTAATAATTAATCAAAATTTATCAATTAATTTTTTTAATAGTCTTCCCATAGTTTTTTTTGAGAAATAAGGACTTCTTATAGACTTTAAATTATTGAATCTCCTAATGTATATAAAATATTAATATCAGTTATTATGAAGTATTCTTATTGACTTATTTTAATTTATTTTAATGATTAACTCATTAATTTTATTCTACATTTTTGCCATATTAAATATAATATAGTATTTGTAACATCAAACTTATTTTATTTATTTTTAATTTACTTTTTTACCTCAATACACTAATAAATAGTTTTAAAGGTAAAACATGATTTTCAAGATAAAATCTTTGAAATGATATATAATTTAAAATAATCATATCATATTATTTTTGATTGAAATATTTTTATTGTTTGCTTTTAAATTCAATTTTATAAAGATGAAGAATCCATTTTTTTAAAATAAATTTCTTTTTTCTTTTTTCTTTTTTTTAACTTTATAATAAAGTTATTCTATCTATATCTAAGATTTAACATTCCTTACAAGGACATAGAATATCAATACAATTATTTTTATGTATCATTAATTGGATTAATAATTCTATGCTATGAGACTACTCACAAATAAAATACTCTATAGATTAAACTAAATAAGATTTATTAGATCCATTGCAAAATTGTTATATTATATTTTGTATTTTTCTCTTAAACATAGATTCAACAACATACCATAATAACTAAAATTTATCATAATTTTACTTGAGAAGATATAAAAAAAGTAAAGAAAATAAATTTATCATTTTCAGCTGAAATCTTCCAAAAAATTAGAATTAAATTGAAGAGTGCACTTAATATAGTAATTTAATAAAATAAAATTGATAAAGAAGTAATACCAAATGCAAATTTATGAGCAATTCTTAAATGTAATATTATTATAACACTATGTAGTATATGAATTATTATTTATGATTCTTTCTATTAATATAAGATAGATACAGCTATATAACATATTATTAGAGGACTTATGAAAATAGATTCTATAAAATTATATTTGAGTAAATGATTTTAATGAATTTCTCTTTTTTTAAAAAAAAAAGTGGAAATAATAGAATTAAATAATACTAAGATTGTGCCTATGATACTTATTAATAAAATTAGAGAGTTATTTTGTGTATTTAAGTTATTATTATCTTAATATATTATTGCCCTTTAACTTAAAATTTGACAAAAAACAGTTTATAATGGACATAAAAGGATCCAATTGAAATAAAGAAAATAAACTTTAATAATTCTAAATTCCTAAGGTATAGATTTTTGATATTATACTTAAAGTTTTAGAATTGAGCAGATAATTACTACTACTAATATTACAATTAGAAATAATAATATAGCACATGATAGAAAGTCAAGGCTAAAATAATTAACAGCTTCTGTTATAATATTGGCATTTGATAAAATAGTAAACAAATATTGATTTTCTTAGTTTATATTTGAATTTTGATTCTGATCCATAACTAAAAATCCATTTAGTTAAAAAAAATATATCCATAGAATGAACTATTCAATAGTTGTATTTTTTGTTAATTTCTAATCGTTATCCATAATTGAGATTTGTAACAAATATTCAAAAATCCTATAGATCATTAAGTGTATTATAATATATTGATATCAATTTAAAACTAATCAATCAAACATATAAATTAGAAGATCATAAAATCATTTTTCGTATTTTCTTCGAAAGCTTTCTAAATGTTTTGGAATATTTCTTTAAAATAAGATGGGTAATGGTATAGATTTGATAATTGCTTTGGAAAGTACATATCGTTTGAATTAATAATATCCAAATAGTATTTAAAATACTAAAACAAAAATAAACATTAAGATTCCTATAGAAATAATTAATGTTTAATTATCTTTTGTTAATGTATCTATTGTTTATGATGATATATCTAAAAAGTATTTACTAAATTGGCTTATTTGAAATTAAATAATATCAATTCCCCATAACATATAAATAAGATATTCACTATCATCAAATATACTTTCTAATGCAAGAGCTCTTTCTAAGTAAGATTAATTTTTAAAAATTAATTAAGAAGCTCCTTCAACAAAAGATAATACTTTAGATTATAGATTGATCACTCCAGTTTAAAAAAGTGGAACTAATTACTTTTAATATAGTCTATCATATAACAATTCACTTTGCATATCACAACCAGTTAAAAGGCATACATCTTAACCTAAAAGTGAATCTTATTATTCATCAGTGAGTTCAGAATTTTATTGATCTCCATTAAGAATTAAACTTGTAAAATCTATCATCTTTAATCTTGAGATATCTTTTAAAATTAATTCTTCATCAATAGATAATAAATTTAATATTTAAGTATCAGTTTAAATATTTCTGGTCATGAGTTAATGACCAGGATCAGTTTTATTAATTAATGCATAAGTTTCAAAATATTATTTAATCAAGAATAAATCAAATCTATTGGAAGCTACAATAAAATTTAATCTGTTTTCTTAAGCTAAAATTGCCCTATTACTAATAGGTCCAATTGATTTTGTTATTTAAAGATAATATAGATGAAACGCTAAAATATAAGAGATTATAAATAATGAGACTAAAACAATAACAAAAATAGAACAATAGTTTGAATATTTAGAATTTTCTTAGATTTCTCTTTAATTTATTCTTTTTTTTTTAACAAATACAACTGTAGCTTTATTTGAACTTTTTTTAACATCATCTAATATGAATTTAGGCATATTCAATATTATTTTATAATCTTTTTATCTTAAAAAGATTCTATTATATGATATCATACTTATTAATTAATCACATTAATGTATTATTTAAATACAATCATCCTTATCACACATTTTAAATAATTTAAGATAGAGTTTAATAGTATGAACTACTTTATAATAATTAATAATCAAAGCTGTTAATTACAAACTAATAATTAAATATAATCCAACAAAATAATAATTAACTATTTTATCAAAATGATCATTCATTTCATAATTATAAATATGACAATCTTCTAGAGTTATATTAGCACTTTCACTTACATCAAAAAAATTATAATAAACTTATGATCTTGCAATTTAAGTCATATATGTATCATTTCTCCCTGATAAATATGTTTATGGCGATGATGCAAATGATTAATAAGACATAAAAAAAGTTTAATGCATAATTTAATAATAAGTAGAATAATCTTATACTGTTTAAGATATTTTGCTCTCCAAATCAAAATTTATAAAATATATAGTAATACTTTTTATATCACTTTTCATAGCAATTTTTTTATAATTTGAATACATATTGTTAAGTCTAACACTTCCTTTTGCTATATGTTACCAAGCCATATATATCTTATCATATCTACTAATATTTATTTCATCATTATTATTAAATGGAATTATTGTATCATTTTATATTGGATAAAAATCTCTATAATATATTACATGTCGAGAACCTGACATAGTTTAACTATATGCATCCAAAAAATTTAAATCAGCTGTTATTTATTCTATGCAATCTGATTAAAGATTCTTTTTATTTGAAAATAAATTAGATATTAAAATTATTATTATTATTAATACAACTATTTAAATTAGAAAATTAGCTATTAAATTTTTTATTGTTTATGGTATTATTGTATCATTAATATAAACAATTATTTTCTCTAATTACTCATTAATTTCATTTGAACTATGTTTTGTAGCAGTATTAGTCATTTCAGCTACTAATTCTATCTATTCATTTTAATCTTCACCATCATTCGAGAGTATAATATTACTTTAATTAGGTCTAATCTATTCTAAAGTTGCTTATTATATTCTTAAAATATCAGAAAGTCCTGGTGTTTTAGCCAATTATTATGATGGAGATGCATTTACTTTTGGATCTTCTAAAAAATCAATTTCTATTACAAAATATAGAAATTCACAAGTTTAATCTTTCTCTAAATAAGATAATACTCTTTAAACAACACTATATTCAATAGGATATAATTTGGAAAATGTAGATTTAATATTAGATATACTAGTATTAATATCTTTTAAAGTATTCATCATTTATTTATTTGTATATTTTTTTGTTGTTAATGATTAAGATGTTTTAAATTAATTTCTTTTTTAAGATATTATTGAAAGTACTCCTATTTCTCTTTAACAAATTATATCCTATTTAAATATTCTTTTTTTATTTCTTATAGTTAATAATCTATAATATTCTTCTAATATTTAAGATAAAGATGGAATTAATTCTTATATAGCAACTTATTCATATAGTTCTTCAGGCATAATCAAATCTAAATTTGTATTATTTTTGTAATAATATTTATAATTAATTCTTTCATATATGTTTCTTGTTATTCCAAAAATTAGAAAATCAGAATCAACCAAAATATATCCTCTTTTATTTAAATCAATTTCTCTTCTTTCATACTTTACCATTTTTAATAAATGTCCTATAATCCAAAATTAATATTAATCATTTGAATATGGAAATAATGCAGTAAGACATATATTAACTTTTTCAATCAAATTATCTGAATTTAAAATAAATTATTCAGAATTTGCATATAATCTATTTGTCTTTCCTAATTATAAATAAGATTCAATCAAACCATTATGTATTCTACCAAGTTTAATTGGTAACAATTATTCTATTTTAGTTAATGGAATATTTAGATTTTAATATCCAAAAAATTCACAAAATTAATCATTTATATTTTAAGTAATATATCCTAAAGTTTAAGATTATACATTAGATATTATTGATAAAGCTTACCCATTTAAAAATTATAAATTGTTGAATTATGAACTTTTAGAATTTGTTTGTTCCTTTATTTAACACTCAATTTATTAAGCTATCTTTAAACAACTATTAATATCTTCCATACAAACTAATGTAACTACTAATTTTATTTTTAATATTAAAATAGAATCAATTGCTGGAATTTCTCTTTAACTTTAAAAGTTTAGAAATTCTTTTTTCAATATTTCAGTTTTATTTCTTATTTATTATGAAAATTCAATAATTTTATCATAAGAAATAAAATGATTCATTTTTTATAACCATAATTATTTTTAACAAAGTAACAATTCAATAGTTTTTTTAACAATTTCTTCTTCAAAATTATAAAATAAATTAAAATCTTATAAAGTTCTAAATTCTAAAGATCCAATTTATATACCTGCTCTATTATGATTTTCAATTTCAATTTTATTTAAATGTTGGATTTAATTAATTAAATTTAAAAAGAATTAAGGCATATTACCTGATTTCATTTTTTTTAATGTATAAACAACATCTTATATAATTTTATATGATAAAACTGAATTTTCTCTATATCTTTATAAGAAAGTAACAAATTTAATTGTAAGTTATTCAAAGTATTAAAATTAATTAGGATTTTATAAAATTGATTTAATTATTTTTTAAAATTAATGTTATACCCAAATATAAATTTATTATGTGTTAAGTTAGTTTTATCCAAAAATAAATTTATTTAATTTTTATTTACAAGGACAAGATAAATCATTACAATTTTAACAATGAATCCCTAAATATTTTAATAATAAATAATAATCTTTTTAATGAATACTCTCTAAATGACATAATTAACAAATAAATTCTAATGGATGTTCACTATTTTTAATAGTTTTTGATTTAAAAAATATTTAACATTCTTTATCAATATAATTATCATAGAGTGCTTGATTGATTCCAAATATCAACTAAAATAGATATAAGAATTACAGGAACACAAATGCAAAATGTTAAGAATATATGACCATCATTTAAATCAGAAAATATCCATACAGCTACTAAAATTTCAAAAAACCATGCACACCACAAACATTTACTAAAAAAGACAGTTTCTTATTAAAATCCAAAAGGTATATTAAAATATGTATCTAATGCAATAACTATAATAATTAGATTGAATATTGAATGAATTACTAAATTAAAGTTATCATACATTTCCTTCCAAAAAGATGACATTTATAATGCCATATGTAATAATATTGTTAACAAATTAAAGTAACTAAATTTTCTCATCAAATCTCCTTAGACAAATTCATAATTTCTAAAACAGTATAAAGATAAAAAACCTGAAAGGATAACGAGTACTTACCCTATAATACTAATCACTAAAAAGTGTGATGAAATTAAAGAAAAACATTCTTTTGGGTCTAGATTACCATGTTAAGCCAAATATGCTAAACGACCACAAGTCAATACTCCAATCATACATTCATGAAAAGGTGTTAAGAAATACCATTAAAAGTTCTTAAAATAAAATCTTATAAATCTATTAACAAAATTATTTGTAGCAAATGGCTAGTATAGAATTATCAATAATACTTTGAATGCAATTTAAAAAATTATTCCTGCATAAATAGAACACATTGTTCCAAAAATACAATAGTAAATAACCTTTGTAAATGGGTCATAATGTATTACTATCATCATAAATGGGATAGAGGAATATTATCCTATTTGAGCCAAATAATCATTCTCATAAAATACGATGGATTTGCTTTCAAATTAACTATATAGGTAACCAAGCAATTAGATAAAATAAAAGACAATCATACTCAAATTGCCATAATCAATTTATGCTTTTCTTCTTTCTGTATTACACCCAATAGTTAAAAAGAAGGATATAAGCTTAGAAAAATATTTCATTAATCCTAAATTTATTATATTTATTTATAAACATATCAAAAATCTTGAATAATAGTTAATCAACAATTTCATTAGATATATAATTGTGAGTTAGAAGGGTTTTTAAACACAAATTATAAGTAACTAAATTATTTTATAATTATGGCCAAATTTTTGGGTAAATTCTGAATTAATCATTTAATTATTCAAGTTTTGATAATTTAAGTTAACAAAAAGATCAATTAATTTGCAACAATTTTAAATTTAATGGATTATACAGAAATTATAATTGAAATAAACATTAAAATGATTTGATCATAATTTGACTTTTATAAGAATAATATACATGAATAATTGAACTTTATTAATTCATTTTATAATAATCATTCATCATCATTAAATTACATTAGCTCTTAATTATTAGATACAGAATCTATTAGTTATTCAAAATATTGATCATCTTTGCTTTTTATATCATTACTGGCTGCTGTAAATGTATGAAATTACTTCTATATGGATCTAATTCTAGGAGTCTCGCTTTTATTGATAGATAATTATTGATATTTCATTTTTTATAACATATCTCTAAAATCTTTAATTCTAATATTCATATCCTTAAAATATCTATCAGCCATAGCAATAAAATCCTCATTGTTAATTGATCGATAATTTCTGTAATAAGTAATATATCAATACCTTTTAAGTTACTATCCTTCTTAAAGAAGAGCTTAGATCTGACCAACTCTATTCAGAGTTGCATGATCATTAACACTATTATTTACTTGAAAATTTTTTAGAAAAGTATTTAATTTATAAAAATTTAAAAGAATTCTCTCAGCAACTTATCTAATTTCCATTTTTATATATGTTTTATCTAATAAAGTAATAGATCTTAATTCTGAAACAAATGGTTGTAAATCAGCATAAAGTATAGCTGTAAATAGTGATGTCAAAGCTACACCATAAAATAAGCCTAAAGTCATAGTAAATCTTCCAAGTTCAGTAGTTGGGTAAAGATCTCCATACCCAACTGTGAATATAGTAATCATACAAACCCATAAGGAATTATTTATGTTGTAATGATCAATTTCAGTTGTTGTTCTCAATAATGATCTCTCAGAAATTTCTAACTAGTAAGAAAACAAGAATATTCCAATACAAAAGAGACCACATAAAGTGGAATAAGGATGCTCTCTAATCATCACTTTGAAGATGAAATGAGGACCAAATTCAACTGAATATATGCCACTATAATGAAATTTATCAAATACCATAATCTGTTTACTCTATTGGAATAAAAAGGTTGGAATTTAAATGCTATATTCAAAATAAGTAAGGTTCTAAATAGCATTACAAAAGTAAGAATTTCATTTACGAAATAGAATCTCGGTTAATCAGAATATCGTTGAGAGAATGAAACTCTCTATTTAATTGTATAAGGAGTTGGACAAGGAAGTAATATAGTTATTTCAATTAGCAAAAGAAAGATGAGATTAGTTTAAAATATGTTGGAAGCTTTAGGTATTGTAAGAGAACATTTCTTAAATTCAAGTTCTGCTAAATATGCCATTAATGTCATTATAACTAAATAAATCTATAAAAATACTAGATATTATTGTGAGGAATAGAATTAGATATAACAATATTTTAATTTCCTCTTAGTATGTATCATTTAACTAATAGGCAAACGAAACTTCATACTATATAATGTATCAACCATTACTTCAAGAATCATAAGAATAATACTTGCACATATTGTCCACATTCTGCCTAATTCTAAAACTCTATATCTTTCAAAATAAAGTCTTGTAATTCTACTATCTTCAAAAGCATCTTTTTTTGAACTCTCAAGAATTGTTGACTTTTTTCTAAGACTCTTTCTATTTTTTGGAGAATTTTAAATCAAATTTGAAAGCTTTTCATCCTATTCAACAGCATCTTCATCATTTGCCCTGGAAGCTGGAGTACCTTACAGTTCAATAACTTTATCATTCTGAGATTTCATAATATTTATATTTTAACTATCAATTTTTAATCAATCAAAGAAACTCATAAAAAAATAATACTGTGCGAATCATTTAAATTATTAAATAATTCTTGAGCCATACTAAATTTATACTTGCAAATGAAAAAAAAAAGATAATGAATCATATTTATCAATTATATAAAACCCAATTTTAAATCTCAGTTTTAAAAACTTACTTTTTTTATAAATAATTAATTAAAATCAACATAAAATAAAATATTGGAGGTTCCTTAAATAAATTATTATCAAACAACTTTTTTTTGAAGAATATAAATTTGATGATGAATCAATTATTAATCTTATAATTGAAAAATATCTAAATTTTAGTAACAATGAAAAGTTCAAATATAATCTTACTGTACATTGATGATTGAATTTGATTGTTTTAGTATTCCTTGAATCACTATATTTGTTTATTGATACCATTTTTTGTGAGACTTCTCCATTAATAACTCTAAAAAATTTCGAAATCATAGCTTAAGAATACCTAATCTAAATTAATGTGGGAAATTGAACCTTAAAAGCTTTCTTTCCTTTCTTAATTCATTCAAAGTAAATAATATCATTAAATTTAAAGTGGTATAACTATTATTGGAATTTATTTCAAACTTTAAAATTATTTATTATTACTTATAATTTAAAAATCAATCAAATAAATTTTAGGTTAAAAAATACTAAATATATAATTATTCTAATTGTGATTTCGTTCTAGTATAACATAAAATAAGAAGTAATATCCAAGATTATAAATTAAATTATAAATTATAATGTAAAAAAATTAAATATATTTTCTTTTTAATAGTTGTTGAAATTAAATTGTTACAATAAAATATAAATGTATTATTAAAAAATACTAAAATCTAATTTGATATTGCTTAAATATAAATGTAAAATAATAAAACAGAAAAATTGCATCTCTATTTTCTAAATATCTTGTTAAATTATGTTTTATATCTTTATTCAATAATTATGTATTGTTTGAATTTGCATTAAATTAGTAATTATCAATTGTAATTTATTTTATTCTTTTATATTTATATATATTTTAATGAAACTGCATAAAAAAAATGTATTAATTCGTTCAAGTTTACATTCTCCAATAAATTTTGATTCGAAACCCTCAACATAAATTCCTAGATAGAGATCTGTCAATTAATTTGAAGAAGCTGATCCTATTTCAAAAGGTATTAGGAAAACTATATTTATGAGATAGAAAAATTATAAAAATGAGGAATGTTGTAGACTTAGGAGATGCAACTGAATCTATACATAAATCCTCATCTAAATAAATGAGGAGGTATAGCAAAGATGAATAAGATTAACTACTTGAATAATTAGATTAATGGCATGAATAAGTAATTTCAAAGAAAAAAGCATTTGCTTTTGAATAAGTTAAGTAAAATGACAATAAATTCATGGAGAACGAGTTCTCTAATGATGGAGGACCTTAAATTAATTAAGCAATTATCAATTCAATTCTTAAAACATAAGATAAATAATAGTTAAGAAACTTATCATTAGAAGATGAGTAGAACTCTAATGTTTAAGTCAAATTTTAATTGTTGAGATCAAATAAGGATTCAAATAATCCTGTTATGAAGACATTAGATTAAGTTAGAATAGAAATGAATAAACATATCTTAAACACATTGTTATTATAAAAAGTTACAAAGAAGTTGGATGATTTATAAATTAACAGAAAAGGCAAAACAAATTGGAATCATTAAAAAATGGATGAAGAAACAGCATAAGTTGTTAGAGATTAATCATAAGCATTAAAAAATTCAACACTTAATAATTTTAAAGGATTAACTGAATATTTTAGCAATCCTGCTTAATACATTGATTACGATATAGTCTTATCAAAAGCAAAATATTATAGTAACCGACCTCCAAATTAATTTTAAGTGGAAATTGTATAAACAGGATAATAAACATCCACAACTGCAAAATAATTAATGGAATCATTTTAGTAATTCTAAGTTTAAATAAAAGAAAACAAATAAATCCTATATTAAATGAGATTAGATAATAATAAATTAGTGTAATAAGCAACAAAAAAAGAGGATGAAATAAGTGAAATAAGAAGGAAATATTATGGAAAAGAAGAAAAAGCAAGATTAGGTTATATTCCTGATTAAGATGGAAAAAAACGAAATATGATGGAGATAATTGAAAAAATTAGATAATAGAGAGATTTAGAGATTAGAAATATTTAAAAATTTATTACATAAATAAAAGATGAAATGCATAGAAATACTGATAGATTATAAGTAATATAGAAAGATTTAGATGAATTAAGACAAAAAAAAAGAAGATGTAAGATGTTATTAAAAGATATATTCTTAAAACAACTTTAAGAGGCAAATGAATCATTAATGTCTGAAGGATTAGTTCAAATAATTAAATAAATGAAAAAAATCAATGAAAATGCAAAAGTTGAATAATTTCCAAGATATTTAGATGATTAATCAAGATAGTATCTTCTTAGAGCTGCATAATTAGAAATAGATATAGAAGATGCTAGATTACAATCTTAGAAATTAAACCATAATCATACTAATTTAAAAAGTACTCAATCTTAGTAATGTCTATTTTAAACATAACCTGTAAGTGTTTCTTAATTGAAAAGTCAAGTAAAAACAATGCTTAAAAGAGGTGGGGTTTCTATAAAAAAACCAGTGTTTGTTTAAGGTATAGATCCTATGAATCCTTCATCTTTTGCTCATGTAATTAAATGGGAGAATCAAGAATTAGAATCTGTAAATCTATAAAATAAAGAGGAAACCCATTTTAAATTATAAAATATGCCTAGTGAAGGTAATATAAATTTAAAAGATTCTAATCAAAAATTAATTTCATTTTAGCAATCGCTTGAATAACTTTAGAAGGAAGAATAGACAAGAATACTTAAAATATATTAAAATAAAAGACATTTATCAGATGTTCAAGAGTTGAAATTAGTTTTATATTCTTTATTTGGATAAGTAATAGGAGATTAATAGTGGTATGAATTTGTTATTGAATGGACAGAGTAAAAATCATTAAATCCTTAATAAATATTGAAAAAAGATACAGAATTAAAAGCTAATGATAAAGGATAAAATTAAAAATAAATAGCTGAAAAAGTTAAATAAAGCATAGCTAATACATATCGTAAATTATAATAAAGTAATGAAATTGAATATAATTTTAATATGCTAGATTGATTTTTATATTATTTTTCAAATAATTAATAAAAATGGTCTTATTTTTTATAAAGCTACTTTCTCATCAACTAAAACAACTTCCTTGTGTTATCCATTATGAGTTATTTCAGCTATAAAATAAATATTATTGAATACCTCTTAAATCATAGAAATAGAATGGCTCTCCAATTTAATATCTATATTTTCCTGGAACAGGCATAGTCTTAAATTTCAAATTCATAACTGCACCTGATTCAACATCAGCCATTTTGAAATGTCCAGTTGTCATTGAAGTATCAGTGTTAAAGAATTACCAAAACTTAGAGATTATTATTTAATCCTTACCTTATTTTTGAATTCTGGGAACTTTTCAGTACATGGATAGCCACGGTCATATTCACAATCATAATCTAGAACATGAATAGTTTCTTCTTTGAAGAGAGCATTAATCTCATTATTCTTATAAAGCATATCTCTAAGATAAGTTTCCTTAAAATCAGGATCACCACATTTATCTCTTGCTCTCACATATAACATAGCTAATGGTAAAACTGTTAAAACCTATTTTTAATTCAAATTTATTACTTTGAATCCAAATGCTAAAGGATAAAATTGATAACAGAAGAGACTGAATGCAGGTAAGAAATAAACATTGAATTTATCAAATAATCTATGTCTTCTTTCAATTAAACATGAAAAATTTGGGACCTAAAATTAAAATTGTAAATCTTACATGTCTATGCAATAAATCTTAAATCCATGCCCATCCAAGTGGTACTGATTCCCAGTTATCTTTTGGTGTTTTTACGTATGTATGCTCTTAATTAATATCTCTTGGGTAAGTATAGTAAGCATTCTTAAATTTGTATTGCCATCTCTTATTGTATGGGTTTGATGATTGCCACACAATCTTATTGTATTGTGAACGATGCACTAATTACTATACTGTTTTGCTCTGAATAATTTACATTATTTATATCTTTTAATTAGTAATATAAACTTAAAATATAATTATTCTTTAAAATACTCTTTACCTTATTTAATTTCTTTAACAATCCTCATTTTAATATCAAATACTTGTGGAAAGTGAATAATATTTTAAATTAATTTAGATTCCTAATAATTATCATTTGAATTCTATAATAAAATTACAGTTGAATAATTGAATCTATATAATTTTCATATTATATATATATATATATATTTATATCAAAGTCTTTAATTTTTATTCAACTGTTTGTTCTATAATATATGATTGGTTAGGTTTAGATTATTTTAGTAACTTGCCTTCCATTAATCTAACGATTAAAAACATTTAAAGGAGATGCAGATCCCATAACAAGTTTGGTTTGCAATTATTTTTTGGTTTGTAAAGGGGATTGATGTGAACAACAAGTCATAGAATGATTAGGTTTCAAAATTGACTCCTTATTTGAATCTCTATTAGTCTATATAAATTGTTATAATAGTTCAGTATCATCATTTTATTCTTTATTTTCCTTTTGTTTTTTAGGACAAAAGATTGACATTATAAAGGATTCCACTTATTTGTTAATATTATCAAAGTTAATGTTTAGTTTAATTTTTTCAGATATTCCATTAATAATATGTGTATACTCTTCAATAATTTCATTTGGTATTAATTAATTCATTAATTTATATGCTTCAAACTTTGAATTATAATTCTATACTATTTCAATATCATTATTTATCATTTTTTGAATTTAATCCTTGTTAATTTATAACAATTTTTATTAAAGATCATTAATCAGAGTTATAATTTAATTTTTAATTTAGTGGAAATAAATTTCATAAGGCTTTTATATTGCTTTAAATAATTCTTAACTTTAATCCATTAAATCGTCAGCTTTTTTAATATTTTATTCAATTAAGTGTTCATAATTCTCAATTTCTTTCATTTGGCTAACATGTTTTGTATGCATTTTTATAACACAATGAGCACATGCTTTTTATAACTTATATGGACATTCATTATCTATACATATAAACTTATATTAATTATTTTCATGACCTGGTAGTTTACAAATATTAGTTTTTTCTATTTATACTTAGAATGATTATTGCTGGCTGACTTATTATTCCTCATTTTTAAGTCTATTAATGGGAGAAAAGGTTTAATCATTTGAATTTCTTTTGGTTATAGGTGAAAGATGAGATTTTTCATTTATTGATGCCAATTACAGCCATTCATCTTTATCTTAAATCCCTTTTTCAATTTAATCCTCTAAAAAAGTCTTAGTATTAGGTTTCTCTTTATTTTTGATAAAGGAATTATGTTGTTCTTTTAATTTTTAGGCAATTGTGTATTCTGACATAGATCTTTAGCTCTTAATATATTTTAATGAATTACTAGATTCTTCTTATTGGAATCAACGATCTAACCCCAAGTTGTTTCCTTTTCTTCAAAGGCTTGTTTAATATGATTTCGTAACCCCAATTGATTCCATAGTTCACGTGAAGACTTCTTTGGCTTAATCATATTCGTTAAATTAATATAATGCTAATTGATACTACTCATCGAGATATTATTCATGAAATAGCTTATAATTTTGATGGGAATCAATTTGCAACAGCATCAAGCGATCAAATAATGGGAGTTTACAACAAAGTTAATGGGTAACTAAATGAAAATAATCATTTTTAATAGAAAATGAGAAAAGAGTGCTGATTGTAAATTTCATGATGATCCAATTTGAAAGATTAGATGGGCAGATTCTAAATTCGGATAATTGATAGCTACTTGTTCTTAAGATAAAGGTGTATGTGTTTGGGAAGAAAAGAAATCTTACAAAGAAAATTCAACTAGATAGAAATAAATATAAGTATAATGGAAATAGAGAATATTAATTTTAGAGAGCAAGGAAGCTGTAGATAACATATAATTTGGTTCAAAATCAAATCGTTTATTATTGGCTATAGCATGCATTGATGAAAAATTATAAATCCATAGAGTTTATGAGTAAAATTAATTCATAAAGAAAGGTGAAGATATTTAAATAATTGTATATGGATTAAAAGCAATTTCATGGAATCATGCTTTTTTAGAAAGGGAGATGTTGGTGGCTGCAGGTAATGCAGAATAATAAAATATCTAAGTAAAATAAAAACAGATCATTTTCATGGAGTGAAAACTATGGCTAAATGGATGTTAGAATAATGAGAATTAAAAATTTGTAATGAAAAATATTTATGAATTTGATGAAAAGAAAACTATAAATGATGTATAATGGGCAATTCAAAAATGGAAAAAGCTTTCATTTAATTACATCTGCTAGTGCTGAAGGAGTTAAAATATGGTAGATTAAAATAGTATGGAGACTCTAGTAGAAAAATGAAAGTAAGAGTTACTAAACCAAATTATCATTCTTATAGAGTTTCTTGGAATTTTTTGGCTAATCTTTTAGCAGTATCTTGTGAAAGTAAAAAAATGGATGAAAAATAAGCCATAATTACTTCAAGAGAAGTTAGAATTTATTAAAACTAAAATGGAAGTTGGGTTGCGAAAGGCAATATTTAAGTAGCCAATTTCATAAGAGATAGTATATCACTTTAACAATTTACAACTAGTGGATTGATATTATGTTTAGAGTTTAGAATTTAATTTCTAGTAATTAATGATGCCACTAAATAACTGTTTGCTAATAAAACCTATACGATAATATAACTCATTTTTTTGTTGCCTTTTTCTTTGGTATTGTGACTGATGTTCTCCTTTCTAAATATTCAAATGTAAGTACTCCTCTACGTAATTACTCTTTGATTGAAAATATATATTTTCTCACCTTTGGAGGAATGCCTTTCTCTTTCATTTAAAACTACATATAAATATCAATGTACTCTATCTGCTTCAAATACTTCAGTCAATTTTTCAAATTTATCTGCATAATCTGAACATCCTTTTCCTATTCTTAACATAAACTATTCAACTGGCCAATCTGGAATAGTTAAGTTGTATCCTGGTGGTGGGAATATTGGAGTTATTGTTCTTCTTCTCATAGCAGGCTACTATAATAAAGTGGTCTTGAAGAATCTGCTAACAAAATTCAATTGCTAATTTCTCAATATAGAAATCATAATTAATATATTTTCGATTTTATTTCTAAAAATCTCTTTATCTTAAATTCTTTATGCTCTTCTTCTTTTTTTTTCGTATTATGTTCTAATCTCAAAGAATATGACCTGTTCTTTTGTATTACTTGTTTTTTAGGAATTCGTTAACTCCTCATTCGATATAGATTTTCTATAATATCTGCTGCTTCATTTCCATAATTCATTTTAATCACTTTCCCAAAAGGAGTTGAAGGTCTACCCTATTATATTGTGGTTACTTGTTCCTGAGACCATAAACAAATGTATCTTCTGGCAACTTTACAGTCTTCGACTTTTTATGATGTGAACTGTTTCCGTATTGCCAATCAGATGTAATTTCTTTCATTCCAATTCCATCTCTATTAATCTTTTTACCATAATAATAACTTGAATCAGGTAGATCTGATACAGAGGGCTTTGCTTTTCCAACATCTCCTCTTAACAATAAAATGTTATTGGTTTTATTTATCAAATAAGGCAAAATAGTTGACATAAAATAATAAAATACTCATTTATCTGTTAACCAAAAAGTATTAAATTTTTATAACTCAATAATATTAATAACTTCCAACATTATCCTAATAATTCTACTTCACATCATGATAGTGAAATAATTTTTGGATTATTAGCATATATAAATACTTGATTGATTTTCTTAATAATTTCTATTTTAAAGATTCTTATACATCTTTTAATTATTAAGAAACAATTATCAAATAATGTTCATTTTAGCATACTATCTATAAAAGGCAAAAATAAAAATACTCTATTTTTGCTTATATTTAAATTTAAGAATTTAGTTTACTATATTATAAGTATACATAATTTGATCCAAACATTTTAATACTAAGTTGAATATAAAGTGATAATTAAATTTCTCTTTGTAATATACAAAATTACAAATCAAATTTTTATGAATAATTTATTGGCCTTAAAGGATTGACACTTATTAACCCAAAAATACCTATTAGTCTGTTATTCTAGCAATTATCGATAAATTTAAAGTAATTCTTAAATTTATTTTCTAAATTTTTAGTATAATTTGTTTAAAGAAATTTAAGATTTTCTTAATTTTATATATAAAAACAATTTTAGTAATCTTTTATATTTTTTTAAAAATAAATCTAGGGATTATTATTATATTATAATAAATTATCAATATTTTTTTAATTCTGGTATTCCTGTCCAATCAAATGATGTTCCTTTTTCCATAAATTCATCTAATCTATTTGCTTTATGAGCTCTTTCTAAAAGATCCATTGCTTAATTGTATTGATAAAATCCAAATTGATATTTTTCAGCCATTTCATAAAATAGTTTTTCAGTATCCTAGCAAAAGTATTTACTTGTAACATAAAAAGATAATAATGGTATTCCTATGTATTTAATGGAAAAGACTGCTGGTCTAAAAACAGGAATTCTTTAAAAATTTCTGAATATTGTTTTGTTGGCAATAAAAACTACCAAAGGACTTCCAAATAATGCTAAACTAGTTCTAGCCCTATAATTTAGATAAGCAGCTGTGCACTATACATAATCTTCTTAGTTAATAAATCCAAATTGCCTATTATATTCAAAAAAGAAGTTAAAAAGTTTTGCTCTATCATCAGCAATAACATCAAAGTAATCTTGTCTAAATTCTTCGAAATTTGTTAGTTTTCTTTACCTATTCATTAAAATAATTAGAATAAATTATTATATTCAAAAATATTTGTGATAAACTAAGATAGTAAATAATTAGTATAACTATCAAGCTGTTTTATTTGTCTTATTATCTATTTCTAATGCTTTTGAATAGTCAGCTATTGCAAGATCCATTTCCCCAATACTTTGAGAATAAAAAAAATAGGATACTTATCATAACAACATCCTCTATTAAAGTATGCATTAGCACCTTAATCATTCTGTAAATGAATTACTTAAGTGAAATCATCAATAGCCTAATTTAATTTAATGTAAATTTTACTTTATGAAATTCTCCAATTCTTTCATTGCAAATTCCTCTATTATAGATAGCATGGATATTGTTTGGATCTAAATTTATTGCTCTTGTATAATCGCTTATAGCTTCTTCAAATTAACCTAATTTAGCAAGACAATATCCTCTATTATTGAGAGTTCTTGTGTTTTCTGATAAATAAATTAACTCTTGAGAATAGCAATAAACTGCAGTCTCATAATCTTCCATTTTTCGAAGTACTAAACCCATATTTGAATAGATGATTGGGTTCTTTGAATCTAATGATAAGGCCTTTTTAAAATCCTCTAAGGCTTCATCAAATTTATTCATGCTTCTTTTACAACATCCTCTATTATGAATATAAACAGGATTTTATGGTTCAATATCAATAGCTTTGTTAAAATCTGTGCAAGCTTTATCATACTCTCCAATTTTATCAAATACAAGGCCTCTTCCATTATATGCTGGAGCATAGTTGGAATCAATTTTTAAGGAACTAAGAGTAATTTAATTTAAAAGGATACGAATTGAAATATTTCAAGGCATCTTCCAATTTTAGTTATCTATCCATTAATATTCCAATATGTGTTAAAGTATTTGGATTATTAGGTACTACATTATTTGCTATAAGATAATCTTATTAAGCTTTATCAAATTCTCCTTATTTTTCATAACAATTAGCTCTGTTATAATAAGCTTTAAAATGATTTTTATCTAATCTAAGACATTCATTAAAATCTAAGATAGCCTCTTTTATTAAATTTTTTTTCTTCATCGCAAAACCTTTATTATGATAAAAGTCAGCCTTAGATGGATCAAGTTCAATGGCTTTTGCAAAATCCTTAATTGCCAAATTATATTCCCCCTTTTTATCATAGGAAATCCCTCTATTATAAAAGGCATATGCATTCTTAGGATCAATATCTATTGCTTTAGTGTAATCATTTATTGCATCGTTATACATTCTTAATTTATCAAATGCAAAGCCTATAAAATAAATAAATAATCTAACCTCTATTAAATATTGATTTAAAATGAGCAGAATTAAACATTAGAGCCATAGTATAAAATTCAATAGCTTTAATGAAATCTTCTTTTTTTCTAGCATCAAATCCTTATTGGTGGAACCAATCAGAAATCTTTTTATTATCTTGTTTGATATTTTCTGGAATCATTGATATTAATTGTTATTGCAGAGGTGGTGAAATTTCTTTATCAATTATCTAAGAAGGACGTTAAATATGCAATTCATTAGCGTCAATACTAGTATAAAGAGGATTTTGACTCATGAAACTATTCTATTAGGGTTAATTTTAAATCTGTGATTAATCATTTTATAAGTATTCTTCATCATTTTATGGATTCATTAAATCATCTTCTTCTGGCTGTTAATATTTAATTTTTTTAGTTTTATACTAAAAAGCTTCTGTTTTGGGATAGTTATCATCCTTTTTCATAGAACTATTTCTTAGTAAAGATCTTTTATTTATGGAATTTGAAAGATTTAATGACTTTGCATTATCTTTTTCTAATGCTCTAGTATAATCTTCTATAGCACCTGCAAAATCTCCTTTGAGATTTAGACAAGATGCACGTGCAAAGGCTGCATTTACATGATTCTCATCTAAAAGTAATACTTTTGAGAAGTCATCAATTGCAAGATCAGTTTATCCTAATTTTTCATTTGCACATCCTTAATTTGTTAATATTTGAATACCTCTCAAATAATAGCCTCCTACATTATCAAAATCTGATTCTAAAAGTTTATTACAGTCTTATATTGCAATCTCGTACTCACCTTTTTTTATGTATGCAGATGCTCTAATATAAAGGGCTTTCTTATGATTTGGACAGTTCTTTAGTTTCCCTGTGCAAATAGCTATCAGATTGTCTATGTTGATTGACTAGATTATATTTATTAAGCTACAGGCCGATATTTCGGAACCTTTTACTGACTTGGCAATTTCGTTAGATTTGAAGTTTGCATAAAATTAAGAATTAATTAATTAATATTATAATCAATTTATGTCAAAAACAAATTATTATGATCTAATTAAGAATTAATGACAAAATATAATCCAATTCAAAATGAGAAGAAAAAATGTAGATGATTTAGTATTTCTAATTATTCTAGCATAACCAATATTAAAATTTTTTAATTAATATTATAAAAATATAATTGATTAAAACAAAATAATAATCACACCCATTTTCTTTGCAGATTAAAGTGAAATTCTTTTTTTTTCGTAAAATATAAGGGCTTTTTGGATTTGGACCTATTTTCTTTTCAAAATCGCCATAAGGTTATCTCAAACTCTCTTACTTGAATACATTCCCAGAGACTAGTAATTTCTCTGTTGTTATTTCATCAAATTTGATAGGAAGTTAATAAGATCCTTTTAAATTTAATTATTATTAATACCTGGCCCAATTATTTCTTGTTCTTATACTCTCTCTTATTTTCCAAGGCGATCTTTTCCAGGTTAAATTGCAAAAGATGATAATTGTTTTTTATAATGTAATCTGGATCGAAAAGCGGGAATTTAATTTCGTAATCACCAGGTCCTGGCAATATTTTGTCATTCTATTTATCTTTATCGTTAAGCATCATGGCTACAATTCATTATTAAGGAGTAATTTCTCATAATTAAGCTCCATCAGGGTAAAATTAAATATTTTCAAGATTTACTTATGTTGGACCTTTATGTTCAGGTTTTGATAATAAATGTTATACTTCATATCAACCAGGAGGAGGATTATTAGGTTTATTTTGAAATTAACCTCTTAAAGGTTTTTGATATAAACACATATTTAACTACATTTGATTTTTTGAGTTATGAGATTTCATATTTAAAGTAATTTCATAATAATACTCTCTTTGTCCTGGATTTATCACTTCAATCTTTTCAACACTCTTTTATTAATATTATCTCATAAATAATGAAGGGTTATTGGTTGACTATGAAGTATTAAAACTTTGACTTTAAGCATATTATCCAGATCTAGGACCAGAATTTACATATTTAGGAGCAAAGACATTTCTTTCTTAAGAACAAGCTAAGCCTCCAGTGCCTTTATTGGAAATTGATTCTGATTGAATTTTACCGAATTAATATCAACCACAATCATATTCTTAAGGGCCTGGATTATCAAGTAATTATTCTTTAAATCCTGGTTCACTAGATCCAAATGCTTTTGTACTTTGATCACGATATATTATAAGTTCCAATTTTGCAGGAAATGACCCTACTGACAATTTACTTGTAGCATCATGAACAAATCCTTTGTATAATTTGCTGTTTGCAGAAGGCAACTTTCCTTTTTATCTATATGAAACTGACGATGCAGATTTAGATAACATTAATTATAATCATATTTTGATAATGTTTAAAAGTTTGGAATTAGTTATGCTAATTAATTGCTGTGAAATTCTGATGTGTTGATGTTTCTCATTAAAAACTAGTAAAAAAGCCATAATCTTTGAGTTTAGTCTTGGCTCCATTAATTGTGATTACACAATACATTTAAAGTAAAAAAGAAATCAATCTGTTTTAAATCCTAACACAATAAATTATTATATTGTAATCAACCCAAAGATTCAGATGAAAAAAATCCCATTAAATCAAACATTATTGACTTTATTTATTTTTTCAAAAATATTCTTATAAATTTATCAATTCTTATTTGATATTAACATTATCGATGACTGGTTAAAGTATTTAATTATATTTGATTTCAATAATGCCAATAATCTAGTTAAATTTTGAAATCAATAGCTATAGCTAAGAATAAAGTAATTTATAGAATGATTCAATTAAAAGTTTGAAAGTATTGAATAAAAATAAAATAATTAAATTAATGTCAGAATATGGAGCAGTCCCATTTGCACTCATGATTGTCATCGTGATTTACATAGTGGTTGGAGAATACTTTAAATCGATTCACGTATGCATGCAGTCGTGATTGCTTAGTTCCATTTAATCCATGAAACAAGTTTTGGGATCATAATCGGAATGCTAGTAGGTTTGCTTTTAAAATGGATGGATGAAAATGCATATGCATAATTTGTATTTCAAATCTTATTATCTAGTTTTCATTGAATGCAACAATCTTTTTTTACTTACTTTTACCATTAATTATTTTTTCTGGAGGGTACAATCTTAAAAAGAAGCAATTTCTGAAGAATTTTAAATACATTGTTTCTTTTGGGTTTCTTAGTACATTGATAAACTTTATAATCACATTGACTTTGACTATAGCATTTAATTCATGGAGTAAGAATTTACGAATTATAAATATAGAATTGGTCAGATTAGGTACAGATTTAGATTCACATCTTCCTTTGAGCTATGATGAAATGATCAAATATAGTGCAACTATATGTGCAACAGATTCAGTGGCAGCTCTCAATCTAATACCTTCTCAATAATATCCAAAATTATTTAGTGTTGTATTTGGAGAAGGTATGGTTAATGATGCTGTTTCTATAATTATTTTTTAAGCAGTCACAATATTATAAAAAAGTGGAAAATCATTTGAATGGTACACACCTTTCGAATTTATTGGTCGTTTCTTGGAAAATTGCATAATTTCCTTATTGATTGGTCTTTTTGTTGGATTATTTTCTACTTGGTGTTTTAAGAAATGTCGATTTTTGACAAATAGTACTACAACAGAAACTGTGTTCGCATTTTTAATGGCTTACATGGGTTATTCAATTTGTGAAATGCTCAATTTAAGTGGAGTTATAAGTCTGTTGATGATTGGAATCATGATGAGTCATTATTAAGGATACAATATCAGTTAGTTGGGTAGAGTTACTACAAGAGTTACTTTTGAATCCTTGTCATTAGGAGCAGAGGCATTTCTTTATGTTTTTTTGGGATTTGCCATGTGGAATCAAACTACATATTATAGCCCACTCACTTAAGATCTTTATTATGTTGAAGTTTCTTGGGTTTTTGCACTACTATAATTAGGTGTTGTAATTCTTGCTAGATATTTAAGCATTTATATTGTATATTGGATTTCCGTAGCGTAATAAATTCTTAATATTTTCTAGTATTCAGGGGCCAAAAGTTTGGAAGCTAACAAAATATGAGATGACTATATGTTGTTTTGCTGGAATGGTTAGAGGAAGTGTTGCTTTTGCTTTAATTGAAACTCTTGTAGCTTCCCCAACAGATGGTATATAAATTAACTAAATTAATATACTTCAAAGTTGTGTACTCTATATAGTTGTGGTTACTACATTGATTTTCGGCACAGCCATGCCTTTCTTTATTAATATTTAGATTAAGAAACAATAAGAGGAGGAAGAACGTAAATCAATTAGTGAAATTCCTACTCCTGTTCTTAATGACTCACCTAAAAAGAAGGAATTAAGTGAAGCCTAGAAAATTATCAAATATATGGATGAGCATTATTTCAAAAGATGGTTCATTTATGATTATGAAAATCGTAAAGAAAGAATTACTTAAGAAAAAAAATAAATTAAAACTGAAACTTTATAGGAAATTTATGAGAAAGCTTTCAGTGAGGCAAGTGAAGATGAATCAGTCAAGTAAAGAAATGAAGATTTCATTTCTTTACCATCTATTGAAGAAAAACCTACATCTCCATTAATTGTTAAAATGCAAGAATTATCATAACAAATTTGAATATTATTTGTTTTATTTTGTAACCAAATTTCAAATATATTGAAATTAATGTTATTCCATACTTATGATTACATTAATTTTTAATAGTTGGTTTTCACAAGCCTTTTGTAAATTCTGTTTTAGTAACTATCTGGATGACTTTTTATTAACTAGAGCTATTGTTTTTGTATTCATACATTATTCAGATCCGAATTCAATTAAAATTGTAAGGTTAGAATAAATAGACAAAATGAAAAGCCACCAGAATCAAAATCTTACTCAAACTTAATTTTTTCTAAAATATTAAATGTCAAAATTATTATTTTAAGTATATTTTTCAATCAATTTTCATCACCATTCTGAATCTCCTTATATATTATAGAAATTTAATTTGAGAGAATTTTTGAATATTCAATCATACTATATGATTTGCTCCTCAATTTAGATTTCCATTAAATCATTATCAAATATTGAAGAGATCATGGCAACATTTAAAATGATTTGTATTTTTATATCTTAAACTCATTACAAAAATATTTATTTTGACTGATTTTTGATATACTTAAATTATTTCATCATCAAAATCTTTAATTAATTAATTTTTATAAACAGAACACATAACGTTTGCTTTAAAATAAAGCATTGAAAAAAATGGTACTATTATATTATCGAAAAAGGATAATTATACCAATTCCAAAAAAAATCTTAATCATTTTGGATTAAATTAAGATATTATATGTATAAAGCTATTTTATTTTTTATTAGTATTTTTGTATGAATCCACTGAAAGTCGTAAACAATTACATTTTTATATTTGAAATCTAATTCTTTTGTTATTACTCTCTTTCCTGACTAGTTAAAAGTCTTTATTGTATTTTTGATATTGTACTTTGTATAGGTTTAATAATTATGTATCATTAATTATCAGTGTCATTTTGTTTATTTTACACTTGATTTGTGACAAAATCATTAAATATGAGTACTAACATAATTCGTTTTTTTATTTATTATATATAAAAATGAAAGTCGTGCTTGTGTTGTTGATTAGCTTGGTATTTTAATCGATTATGATTTAGGCTTTAAGTAAAATGGCCACAGATCCAAAAGTTGTGCTTGCTGAAATAGATGGCAATCACATGGGAAATACTTTCTTGAATGCCATATAAATTAGTCTTGCCACAGGCTCACCTGTACATGAAATTTAAAGTTATATCAATAATATCAGGTATCAAGAATGTTAAACCTAGATTCATGTTAGAGCAAGAGCAAAAAGACTCTGATCTTTATATCTAAAATACATAAGCTTCTTGTAACAGATTACTCCATGACTTTTCTACTAACTTAGCATATCATTAAAGTTAATTGAAAGCTCATAGCAAAATTGTTGATGAGAATACAAACAATTTGTAAAGATCTTTAAACAAAATTGCAGAAGTCTCTGTCGAAATTGAAGAGAATTCAAAGAAAACTAATGCAGGATAAAGTGAAAGAGACTTACAATATGCTGAATTTTAATCTAAAATTAAAGATCACACTGAAGCGATCGCTGCAATTGATGAAGCTTATGCTTTGATTGAACATCTCTCTGGAGGATCTTCATTTATATAAGTTAAAGGAAGATTCAATAAGGTTTTATCCAGATTATAGAGGTATATACTATATTTCTATCTTAGTTAATCAACTTCAAGTGGATTGCTGTTTTAACCAATCTTAACAATGATGACCTAATTATCAGCAAAATCAGATTCAGATACAGCAAAGAAGGTCTTGTAATTGTTATCCAACCTAAGAGTTTAAATAGTTGAAAGCAAGTCTAGTGATGAAGATATAGAAAAACAATAAAGTTTGAATTGGTAATAATTTTTGTCTGACTTAACTAACGAGAGAAATACCTTGTATTTTTATTGTTTAATACAAATTTAAGGTCTGATTAAAGATAAAATCTTGAATAAGCCATTTTGAATTATTAGAGCATTATTGAAGAATCATAAGGAAAGGTGGAATATCATGCTGCTGAAGTTGAGAGAAATTAAGTATTACAATTAAATATTATTTGCTAGTCCAACTTAGAAGGTTAAGATTAGTGGTGTAGGTAATAATAAGATATTTATTAAATGGAAACCTAATCAAGAGTTCAAACACAAGATTTGATTTCCAGAATCTCAGATCATATATAAGACAAGATTGTTACACTTAAGGAATATCTTAGAGAGAGACTCTAATTAAACTGAGATTAAAAATATTTCATATTATATTATCAATGAATTCAATAATTATCATCTAAGATTATCAAAAATAAAGAACTTGAAGAACATGCAAAAAACATTGAATTAATCAAGTTTGCCATATTGGAAAATTGATATAAGAAGGTACACAGATAATCAATTTCACTAAGATAAATTTAAAAACTAAAAGTTTTTTATGCTAAAATCCATTGCCATTTTCATTATTGATGCATACTTCAAAACTCTGACAAAAATGATGATTTATAATGCAAAATTTTGACAATCAATGATATTTATAGAACATAACCATACTTTAATGTATTAGATAAAAAAAAGCCCTCACCTAGATCAAATTTATTAAAGAGTAACATGCATTAGATTCTGCTGTATTTTCTAAGGACCAAGAATTTATAGATTGTTTTAAATTTTGTATATATTTTGTTTCTTACATAACAATTATAAATCAATCAAATTCCCATTTCTCTCTCTTCTTTTTCTTCTTATCCATTAATTCGTGAAGGCCCTTTTTGTACATTTATTTATTAGCCCAAATGAAATAGAAGGCTAGCCCTCCAAAAAGAGATAGAATAACTGCTATCACAATAAATTAATCAGCAGAAAGACTCATAGCGTGTTTAATTAATTATATTTAGTATTAATAAACAATAATATATATATAATTATAAGACATTTATGAACTAGAATTTAGTTTATTAGGATTCCTTACACTATAAAGATTAAGATATTGTAATCGATCTTGGTGATTCAAATCAGCATAATTTTTATATATCTCTTTCCAATTCATACCAAAATTCTAATCACACATCCCCAGAGTGTGACTTTGATTATAATTATTAAGATGAACTTCTAAGTTCATCTAAAATTGTCAAGAAACAATAAGCATTTGAAAACTTTTCAAAGTCTAAATCGCTTTATTAGTAAAACTAAAATATATAAATCACTTTATTTGATAATAATTATAGTAAGGCATTGGGTAAGTTAGAAAAAAATCGAAAGTCAGTTCATTTCAATTTAGAGAACAATAAAATATAATTAATTACTAATTTTGATACTGATTATTATATGAGCTTCGAAGAGAGAAAAGCATTATATCAGCCTTTTTCTATCCATAAATAAAAAATATTTTTAGAAGATGAAGATCTTTTTGATGATGAGGATGATGAATAATTTATGTTGTTGCAAAATAATTCTATTAATGTAATAGTTGTAAGAGACAAAACTCTGAAGGGAATTTTGAAGTAAAATAATCTTAAAGAAGAACCATTAACAACAAACGAATATTTAGTGATGAATATTACACAATAAAATTTTCCCATTTCATAAGAAACAATAGTGACTAAAAGAGAAAAATTATTATTAGAGAAGAAAATAGAAGACCATCAATATGGTATAGGTCTTAAATTCTTAAAAAAATATGGATTTGAATGTGGGTCTGGTTTAGGCTTGAAGAAATAAGGTATTTTAGAACCAGTTTAAACATAAAAATAAACCAATTTTTCACAAAATTTAGAAAAAAAAAACAATTTTTTGTAAAATATTGATTGTACTAACAGAAAAAAAAGAAAAATAGAGTTGATTGCGGTTTCTGATGATGAATAAGAATATTGTTAAAATGCCAATCAAGTAAAATTACCTTAGATATAGTAGAAAAGTGGTTGATATTAATGAAATGTGAATATTATATTTTACCATTTTTCTTGATAAAAAAAATGAAAATTACACAAAAATTAGTTCTTGTAATTGATCTCATTGTTTATTTATAGAATTAAAAATAATAATTGAGAGTAAATGACAAATATTTGAAAAATCTTCTAAAATAAATTTATTCATATTTAAAATGTGTTATCTCCTCTTTTTGTCTTAAATTCAGATATTTTTTCTAATCATGCTATTAGTCAATTAAGTATCTTACTTATAAATAAATTGAACAATCAAAAAATGTTATTCTGCATAATTAATAATTAAAATAAATAAATAATAAATATTCAAAAAATAGGGATTTAATAAGTAGTGAAAAATTACAAATTTTTTCAAAGTTCATATTATTTATTGTTTAATCTAAAAATAATTGATATCTGACCTTTTTTCTAAGAAATCAAGGAATGAATATCTCTTAACATACTATTTACAATATAATAAAATATTTTTGATATTTCCTTTAAACTTGCCAAAACTATTTAGAGACCTCTTATAAATAATCGATGTATAACAAAAATCATATGAAAAGAGTATTTCAGTTTTATTGTAAACTTAATCAGCAGGTCAATATATTTTGTATATCCAATATTTATATGAGGTCTTTGAATAGTTTTGGAAAGTTTTGTTTCTTTAGACCTTTACAAAAATTAGAAAATATCAAGAAATATATGTATTATGATTGTAAAATATCGTTATTAAAAATATTGTGTTGACTTATTTATAAATCATGAAAATTATGAAGGTTATTCATCTTCTAATTATAATTTCTTCATTTACTTAATAATTATTCTTATTACTTTTAACTGATCCTCTCGAATTAGTAATTTTGTAACAATTAATTTGTAAAGGTAATAAAAATATCTTTATTCAATAAATGGATCAAAATTTTCAATTGAGTTGTCTTTCATAATATTGTGTAACTAAATTAGAGCTTGAATCTTATCTAACTATAGCAACTCCAACTCTACAATCCATGTTTAAGATAGATTTACATCTTTAAATTTATTGGACCTATTCTGATTAAATAATAAGACAGATGAGATGATAGTTGGAAAATTTATAATAATTGCAAACTATTATGAACTGAATAGAGTAAAGGAAATTTTAGACTGCCGAGTAACTAATAGAGGAATGACAGAATAATATAAGGTCTAATAAATTTTATCATAAAAACAGTCTGTAGAAGTACCATTATACTTAGTTTAGGTGTGTGTTGTAAAAAAAAAAATTTATGGGAACACTTATGTTTGAAAAACATTTAGGAAAAATAATAAAAACACAAGAAAGCATTATCAGAAATATAGATGCTTATGAAATTAAGAGGATAAAGAATTATTTTTTATTTGCATGAGATATATGAGAGTTAAGGTAATTTGTATTTCATAATGGAAAAATTGGATCATTAACTTTTCGATGATTATTATCATGAGGAAATCTAATTAATAGCTTAAGTAATTCTTCATTTATTAAATTTTAGTAATTAATTANTCAAAAAATGTTATTCTGCATAATTAATAATTAAAATAAATAAATAATAAATATTCAAAAAATAGGGATTTAATAAGTAGTGAAAAATTACAAATTTTTTCAAAGTTCATATTATTTATTGTTTAATCTAAAAATAATTGATATCTGACCTTTTTTCTAAGAAATCAAGGAATGAATATCTCTTAACATACTATTTACAATATAATAAAATATTTTTGATATTTCCTTTAAACTTGCCAAAACTATTTAGAGACCTCTTATAAATAATCGATGTATAACAAAAATCATATGAAAAGAGTATTTCAGTTTTATTGTAAACTTAATCAGCAGGTCAATATATTTTGTATATCCAATATTTATATGAGGTCTTTGAATAGTTTTGGAAAGTTTTGTTTCTTTAGACCTTTACAAAAATTAGAAAATATCAAGAAATATATGTATTATGATTGTAAAATATCGTTATTAAAAATATTGTGTTGACTTATTTATAAATCATGAAAATTATGAAGGTTATTCATCTTCTAATTATAATTTCTTCATTTACTTAATAATTATTCTTATTACTTTTAACTGATCCTCTCGAATTAGTAATTTTGTAACAATTAATTTGTAAAGGTAATAAAAATATCTTTATTCAATAAATGGATCAAAATTTTCAATTGAGTTGTCTTTCATAATATTGTGTAACTAAATTAGAGCTTGAATCTTATCTAACTATAGCAACTCCAACTCTACAATCCATGTTTAAGATAGATTTACATCTTTAAATTTATTGGACCTATTCTGATTAAATAATAAGACAGATGAGATGATAGTTGGAAAATTTATAATAATTGCAAACTATTATGAACTGAATAGAGTAAAGGAAATTTTAGACTGCCGAGTAACTAATAGAGGAATGACAGAATAATATAAGGTCTAATAAATTTTATCATAAAAACAGTCTGTAGAAGTACCATTATACTTAGTTTAGGTGTGTGTTGTAAAAAAAAAAATTTATGGGAACACTTATGTTTGAAAAACATTTAGGAAAAATAATAAAAACACAAGAAAGCATTATCAGAAATATAGATGCTTATGAAATTAAGAGGATAAAGAATTATTTTTTATTTGCATGAGATATATGAGAGTTAAGGTAATTTGTATTTCATAATGGAAAAATTGGATCATTAACTTTTCGATGATTATTATCATGAGGAAATCTAATTAATAGCTTAAGTAATTCTTCATTTATTAAATTTTAGTAATTAATTATGTTATTGCGTGAATTCTAAAAATTGAATATTGTCCACCATAATCTCACTTAAAAGCACATAATGTTTGATGAAAAAAATATTATAAAATTAATTAGCTTTGGAAACACTTCAAGCATAAAAGAACAAACCGATTTTTTTTTTGATGTGTATCAAACTGGAGAAATCCTTCTTGAACTTTACTACATAAATCAAGATTAATTATTTTCAAAATCAACTTATTTGCCTGATCATGCTGTTAATTTTATTATAGGTTTACTTAATCTAACAGAATACCGACTAAATATCAATCTTGAGTAAACTCATCCTTATTTCAAATCTTTAAATGGGGAGAGCTAGTTAGTAAAGATTAGATCCCTTCTACCCAAAAGAAATCTTTCTGATTTAAAAAAAAATAAGAAATAGTAAGATACTGATCAAGATTAATTAACAATATAGATATGATTTATGTTGTATTATCTTATTAAATAATTCTTACTTTAGTAGTAGATTAGGTATTTGGATTTAATTATCAATGATACCATCTATATATGGTAATTTTTCACAATAAAAAATATTTATTTATAATAATTAAACTTTTTCATTGATTATGAATAAAATACAAATGAAGGTAATCAATACTGAAACTATTCATATTAAATCAATATATCATCGGTTTTTAAAGAGTTAACATATTAAAACAAGTATTAATGGCCTGAAAGGATATTGAAATAGTTTTTTTAAACTTCACTTAGAAATTATTTTTCCTTAATGAAATATAAAGTTAACAAAATATCTGATAGAATCGTTATTTAATCAATTTTAGTTATTTTTAATTCGCAAATTCTTTAAATCATTTATTTGATCAGATAACTTTTTTATTATTTAGATAACAATGTCTAAAATAGTACAAATTACCTCAATAGTTTTATATAATTTTGTGATTTTTGTGATTGAGATTAATTTTCATCAATTGCTTAGTCTTCTTAAGCCTTTCTTTGCTTCAAAAAGTTACTACATTATATATCTTTCTTGTTAATCAATTTTACTTCATAATTGAAATTATTTTTAGAATCCATCTATTTTGTTAGCTGTTTTTTAATATTATAATTTTCATAACTTTTTAAAACTCTGTAGATTTTGAGATTTCTACAGATGGCAATTTTAGAAAATTCCTCAACAGGGTAATTATTGTTAATTAAAAGCATAACTGCACCCAAGTTATCGTATCTTGCTGCCATCATAAACAAATCATCTGCCTCAATCTTATAATGCTTTAGCATATTAGATAGCAACCAATTCTTAGCTTATTTCATTGAAATAATTACATTTTTATATGGCTAAATGAATAGGCGATTAGCCATAAATATTAAAGCTCATTTAAATATTTAATTATTTTGCCTTCATAATAATTTTTGCATTAATGTCATCGTAATCACATTTATTTAAATAATGTAGAGGAGAATTTCCATACACATCATAAGTGAATAATGAGGAATTCAATTTTGGAAAAATTAAGTTGATAATTGTGGGCAAGTTATTTTCTAATGAGAAAGAAAGGATATTTCCTTAAGGATAGCTTCCTAATTCCAGCTAGGCTCCTAATTCTATAAGATGTCTAACAGAAAACAAATTGTCCGTTTTTAAGGACAAACTTAGAGCTGTATCTCCGTTTTCATTTTAAATATTTATATCCATAATTGCTGCCAAGCTGCTCAAGACACCTAAATCCTGTGCTAATGAAGCCTCAATGATCTTATTTTACAACTCCTTCTAACTAAACATTTTTAAAAAGTCAATGCAATTAACTGATTGATTTGTTAATAAATTTATTGTAGGTTAAGTTTAAATTTGGTTCAGAGGAGGCTCAGTGTATTTAAACCAATCTAATTCCAACTTTTTTATGCTTTAAGGCAATTATGGTAAAATAGTGAATTCATTTGCAACAATATATAATTCTTCTAATTAATTCCCAAAATTGAATTCTTGTAATTTATTTTAAGAAAGATCTAACACTTTAACTTTTTCCCCTGCCTTATAATGTAATAAGAGATTATTCTTTAAAGATAAAACTTCCACGTTTATTACAGGTGCTACTTTTATAAAATTTCCTTCCAATTTCAATACTCTTAACTTTTGCATTTTAAATATTTCATCCGGCACAGTTTTTAATCGACATTCCTTTAATTCCAAAATTTCAATCATGTATTGATTTTGCAAAGACTTTGTGATTTATTTTATATCAGCTTCTTGCATTTACAAAATATATTTGGTTGATTAATTAGGGGAAGTTACTACCTAAACTTGGCATTAAGGAAAATCATCAATTTCAACTTGTAGTTTTTTTTTTTTGAAAAATTCTTTTTACTTTGTTGTGTAAATGGTCTGTTATTTGATCAAAAAATCAATATTATTCATAATAAATAAAATAATGAATTATCGTTATAGACTTACGATCCTTTATTGAAATTTTAATTGAATATTTTAATTTGTATTTGTCTTATGATAGATAAATGAAAAAGAAGGAGTGAAATAAAACAAGAATTTTGAAAATAAAGTGAAGCATCTCCTTTTTTCTTACAATATTTTCAATTTATAATAAAATATTACAGGAATATATAATTAATCTAAAACTTAGCCTTGCACCCACACTCAATTTGTTTATCTGCCTTATGTAACTGATTTGGTTTGGCTTCAATAAATATTTTAAGTCTTCATCAACAGTATTAACTAAATCTTTTTAGATTGCTTATACTATATCTAGTATATTCATTAAGTGAATTAATTTAACTATTTTCAAGTCAGAAACCTATTATTAAATTAATGTTGAATACCAAATAACTTTATATATAGATTGAAGGAGTAGATTATGACATATTAGTGAAAATATAATAATATATCAACTAAAGTTCTTTAGTTTATTTTCATAATAATAATATTATTGAAATAAAAAATTCAGATTAATGTCCAATTAAACAAGAACTTGGGTTGATGAAGTTGAAGATGCTGTGTCAGGAGTAGCAGGCTCCATTAAGGCAAATGTAAAGCAACCAATATGTGATGTGATAAACCAAATTCCATTTAATGATTGGAAAAAGAATTATTATGAACCATTAAGCAATCAATATGATAAATGGCCTGAAAGATTTACTTAATTCAAATAAAATAATATATTAAATTTAGGAAATGAAAATTAAAGACTTATTTTTCTTGGATTAAGTACATTGGCTATAGTATCCATTACAAAAAGATGTAAAATAAGTATGTAAAACTTATTTAGTTTCATCTGGATTGTTGCCCATAGTGAGAAATTCTGTTGTGACTTATTTTGGTTTGGGATTAGTAGTGGCCCCAGAAATCTATAATCCATTGTTGGTCAAGAAGAATCAAAATAAATGAAATATTGCAATAAAATATATAGAAAGAGAAAATTATATTAAAATCGTTTATACTATTCTTTTATCAAACAATTTCAATCATACTCTATTTTAGGGAGTGATGTTATTTCTTTTCAGTGCTGACAAAATTTATTAATTAAATACCGAATCTCGTAAAATGAAGAAATAAAATAAATTTAAATAGTTTAATAAACTCCAATTAGTATAACTAATGAATCATATTAGATTCAGAAATTCAATTTAAAGTAAGATTTATGAAAAAAGTTGTATTTAGTGTAGCTTTGTAAATTATAAATGGCTGTTGATGTAGTATTTGTCATTCTAAAAACCTTATGATAATTGCTTTCGTTTTTATAGCAACATAATAATACATGTATTAACAATCAAAAAATCTTATTTTTAACAAGTTTGTTGTAAACTTTCAATAAAGATCAAATTTTGAGCTTCAATCTAAATATTTTCAAAAAAAGATATATTTCTACTAGCTAATAATATAAAATTATTAATAAACTATATGAAAAATAAAGCTTTAGTGCTTTATGATATTGCAAATAATTTTATTTAGACATTATCCTTCTAACTCTCGAATTATGAATTTCAAAATTAAAGTAATAATATCTTCAATTTTGTAAAATACTTAATACATTAATTAAAAACAATAATTGATATTGTTGTCAAAATAATACTATTTTGTATAAAAGTTCGATTTATTAGAATAAAGAAAATACAAAAAATTGAAGAACCTTCCAGATACATGACAATTAATGAATTAGCAAATTTTAAATATACTATTTAATAATAAATTAAGAAATTAAAAAGAGTTTTTTGCATTATAAATAACTAATTACCTTGCTTTTCCTACTTAAGCGAAACGATGTAAATATACATAATTATAATTTGATTGTGATATCTATAATCAATAATTTCAAAATTCATGTTAAGAGTAGTTTGAAATAAATTATTCAGACTACCAACATTTTCGAGTAAATAAATTCATCAATTTTCAATTCAAATATTGTTATAAAAACAAAAATTAGATATAAATGCCCTTAATCACAAATTTTGAATTAGGGATATTAACATTTTTACAAAATCTTCTTCATTTTTTTTTCTTTAAAAATGAAATTAAAAAAAAAGCCATCACTTTCATTCTCTTTCTAAAAAGAATGTGTTATTCCTTCAATGAGTTAAATTTAATTAGGTTTAATTTATAAGACTCTTATCAGTTAAATTTACTTATTCAACAATCCTTACATATAATAGCTTTTATTTGTTATTGATTATCTAGTTATGATGTAATTCTTGTTTAGCTCAATAACTAATTCCTTGCCATTGAAGGTTAAGAAAAGGAGGATCTTCAAAAAAAAAGTTTAATGATAATTCAATTTCTTCTCGTAAGTAGTGTTCCAATAAACAAGTTCGAATCAAAAAAGGTGATTGAAAATGCTGTGAGGAAATGACTGATTTAACAATTTTATTATTTATTTATTAACTCAATTTCCATTTTAATTCTTTTATACCCCTTTAAATGCATTCCATTCTGTTTTATTACTTTTTTTCATTTTCTGCATTAGTGATCTAATTACTATTCTTTAAAACATATTAGCAGATAAATCCTAAAAACACACATTCAATAAATAATTATTATTTGTAATTCTTAAATAATAAAAAGCCAACTTAAGAATTTTTTCTTTGAATTGATTATAGTTTGTAATTGTAGTTTATGGGTGCTAAATAATTCATAATATTATATTAATAAATGTAAAATATAAATTCAATAAAAAATTATTATATATTAAGGCTAATATATTCATTGGGAGGAATGGCCTTAATTTATTAGGTTATCAAATATTAAATAAAAAACTTCAAATACCTGTTAAGAAATTGGAAATTCTCTAACAAACCATAAATTTTTAACGAAATTATTTAGCAAAACTAAGCTGAAACTGGTACTTTATAGATTTTAAATTAATAAATAATATATGGAAGAACAAAATAACAAAACTTTGCTGCATTACCTCTTGAAATTTAATAAAAATTTTAATTCTTGGCTTTGAAAAAATAAAATGCTTAAATAAATGACCCATGTTTCCTCATAATCGATTCTCAAAATTACAAGGTGCAAGTTACCTAATGTTCGAATATTCGATTTTCGTCTAAGCTTTATTAAAAAGTATAAATTCGGGATTAGAGAACTGAAAATTAATTAAAAAAATTTGGATATAATAAAATATTTTTTGCAAACTTGACAGAATATAGAATTAAGGTATGTTATTCCTCTATTAATTAGTTTGGAACTCCTATAATTGTTATAGGGGATTTGATTTTTAATAAAAATACTAAATCTGTTAGATGCTTCAAACAACATTTCATAGGTGATTTGGAAACTATTAAGAAATATTTACAAATTTAAACTATAAAATAATCATGCCTCCTACTCTTTACCTTATTCATTTTTAGTTATTTTGCTTATGATTTTTATAGAATTCATAAGAAAAAAAATTATAAATGTTCAAGTCTGTCAAAGATTTTTATTTCTAAAGGCAATGATTCTTTGTAATGCTAAGAATGCAAAAAATAGCTGATTGATACATTCTTTTCCCCTTGTGGACATTTTAATCTATGTAATGACTGTGCTAAACCCTATTAAAATTGTCCAAATTGTGGTGAATATGTGGAAGAAACTGTAAGAACGTTTAAAAACTGAAAATATATAGTTTACATATCCAGATTCAATAATTTAAATGATATTGTCAAAAATAACTATTCAATATGAAAGATTTTCTACAACAACAATTATTAACTTCTTTAACTTTATGATTAATATCAAATAACCTTAATTTTTTGATTCTTCGTTAACAAAATTTTAACTTGTTTTAATATGAATTATTTTATCAATATTTTTAAAAAAAACTTAACATAGTTCTAAAGAATATAATAATTAATTTCGACAACAAAATATAAAAAATTTTCTTTAAGATGATATAGGTTTTTTATCAAAATTTATTTAGCACAAGGATTTTCATATAATTAAGTAGTTATTTATATTTTCGAGATTTTTGAGCTAAAATCTGCAAGTTTAAAATGAAAAAAATTTCAAAAAGCTAGATATGCATTTTTATTTATAATCAACAATTTTTCCATTCAATTAAGGGTAATGTTACTATTAACCAAAAAGTCATCAAGAAATATTAAAGTATTATATAAATAAGGATTCATATTATTTATCCATCTTATTTAGTTATCTTGTGATCAAATAATTTCAATTAAAATCAACATTCTTCAAGAAAATTATGATAAATACTCATCATAAGAAAGTGTATTATAAGTTATGAGATAATTCATACTTTTAAGGAAAATAATTTAAAGCAATCTAAAAAACAATTAGGTAACTGGAGAGCTACCTGGAATGGATGCAGTGACAATAAAAATCCATGGATACAGTCTAATATCCAGGAAGCTATAAAATACTATGAATTTGAATGAAAAGAAGGTTATAGTAATGCCTACAATCAATTAATAAGGTTAACTATAAAAATTAAGTATAATTAGAATAAAAAGTACTAATGATATTATAGAAGAAATGTAAATGATTTGCTTTACAGGATGGTCTTTATTTTAATTATATTAAAATGTATTAATTTGAATAGTAATATAGAAGAAAATAGATAGAGATGATTTAAAGAAAATTTTTGAGACTAAAAGAAAAGAAATTTAAAAGCATACTAGTAGTTTAATTATTTATTATTTTAATTTGTCTTCACTGATTACAGTTAAATAAAGAAATTGATGGATGTAATCGAGCGGGATTATCTGGGTAGATATGGCTATTAGAAAGAAAAATGTATGATGGCCAAAATAAATGGAAATAAAATTAATATTTTAGTTAGAATAAAAAAAAGAAATAAGTGAAAAAGAGATGAAATTTAATATTTAAAAGTTCTTTTGTTAAAAAAATAGTATTTATTTTTACCATAGATTTAGTGGGTTTTTGTTTGAAGAAATTTGAAAGTAGCAAAC